ATAGAATTTTTTGGACTAATTACATGGAACCCTACTTTAGTGAATGTGACACTTGAGCGGCTGAGCCTTCCTTCTATTCATTTGATAGGCTATGTTTGTTTGAATGCAAATATAAATCAAACACAAAATTTAAACCCAATTCAGTTTCGAATCTATTTGTTTGTAATTATAATATGATACAAATTTGTACTTTTTGGTTGCCCCATTTGCATTTTCTGGCAGTGTAAGTTTAGCATTAAAATCAACAACAAAAAAATGATGCATAATTTGCATCACCTTCCTCCTACCCAAGGTTCAAAATATTGATATGTCCGATATGTCAATAGACGTGTATTGGGCAAATCGATTATTTTTTTTTTTTATTTTTTCAAAACCGGTTCAGGGGGATAGTTTAGGGCGGCTTCTCCAACCCTGAACCGATCAGACTCCCGATACACCCACTATAGGGGCCTATTGGAGGGGTCCCAGAATGTTACGTATTGGCCGATACAGGCCAATACATGTCGATACTTTGAACCTTGTTCCTACCTCACTTCTCTCTTATATAAAGTGAGAACCACGTCATCTTACTTCCTACTTCACTCCCCAACAAATAACCCTCCTAGCTACTACCCCCACTCTCTTTCTTAAGGTAGGACCACATCATTTTACTTTTCACCAACAAATAATGACAAGGTCAAGCAAAAGTAAACCAAATTTTACAATTAATTCATTTGCACTACAACCAAACACAGCCTTATAAGTAGACTCTTTAACTAAAGATATATAGACCAATGAACTCACATCTCAAGATAATAAACCATTTGCAATGGTTTGAAGTAACCTACGCCTTAGAAGCTGCATATATAGTAAACGATGTACCAAATTAACCCAAACATTTGAACCATCAAAGCCTTCTTGTAAGATTAATTCATTGTTGTGAACCATCTAAGTGGTGTATTAAGATACAATTAATCAAGGCCATCCAAAAAGGTGAAAGTGTAAATGGACTGAAGGTATAGAGGAGACACTCAGGAATTGGGTCGATCAGGGATTTGGAATGAATGGGGGTGTTTTTATAAAAAAAACATAAAAAATAAGGAGGTTGAAATGGGAATCACATTCCCATGGGGAGATAAAAAATGGCCAGTCCCCATATGGGGAAATCCCATTCCGCCTCGACGGCGGCATTGGTGGTCATTCCTCTACCCAATGCCACCACATCCACCCACCAACGTCACTGCCTCTGCCTCCACCCACCTCCAGCAACGTTGCTGGAGGCGAAGGCGGAGGTGGCGGTGGATGGCAGCGCTGATGAATGGATTGTAAGAGGAAGAAGATGGACATTGTTTTTTCCCTTAATTGATATTATTTTTAAAAGGTTAATCTATTTTTGAAAATTTTTTAAAAATATTACTTTTATTGATATTAGGGCCCTAAAGTTGCCCTTATCTGCTATAATCCTATAACTAATTTCACTTATATCAAGTAATAATTCGAGAAAATAACTTTCAAAAGATTAATATTTATTAATAATAATTTTAAACTCTTAATTTGTATTTATTATATAATTATATATACTAAATTTAATATATATTGTTTTTCAGAAATTATTTATTGTTTTTGTCATAAATGTATTTTCAATGATTATGTATAAATTTATTTTGTTTTGTTATTTAATAGAAAACTTTCAATAATTATTAGAGATTAAACTATCATTAGTGAAATTTTTAAATTTAATTTATTGTACTTATTGCATTTTTGTTATAACTTATTGATTAATATTTATTAGAGATTAAACTATTTATTGACTAATTTAATATATTTTTAGTACTTATTGTATTTTTTTCATTGTCAATATATTTTTAATAATTGTGTAATTTTGCTATAAATTTTCAATAATTATTGGAGATTAAACTATTGTTATTTATCATAGATGAGACTATTAATTTAGCTGAAATTATGAGTGTTCATGAGTTGGTTCGGTTTGGTCGTAGGCTATTTGGCCAACCAAATTGACTTGGTCAGGTTGGGGAGTTGATCAGCAAAAACCGACTAACCTTTTGTGAAAACTGGCCCACTCAAGTTGTATCAGTTTGGGTCAATTTTTTTGGTTTGGTTAGTCTGTTTAAAAGATTTAAACTTAAAAATTGAATTTAATTTAAAAAATTGTAGTGCAATTATTAACAAATAAATTTAAAAATTAGATTTATGATATAAAAACATTTTAGACTAAGAAATATGGGAAATTTCCCACTTTTTCCATATTAAAAATAATATTTAAAATATAAAATATTAATATATTTTCATGGTTAGGTCATTCAATTTTGGTTGGTTTACAAATGGTCAAAGTGAAATTGATCCAACTTGGTTGAATTGGGAAATTTTTGAACCAAAACCGACCTAAAATACTAGAAAATCGACCAACTCGGGTCGAGTTGATCGGGTTGGTCGGTTTCATCAGTTTGATGAATAAACCTAAGTGAAATTAATTATTGTTATTTTTGTATTATAAAAAATTATTAAAAGTAGTATATAAAATATGAATATTTATTAATTATTTAAAAAGTTGAAAATATAAAACAATTGTATACTCTTATGTGATTCTATTAGGGTCATTTAGTAGAACACATCTTATAGACATATTTACTTAAACCTACCTTATAGTTTTCATTTTATAAAAACATCACATATATTTTACAACTTATTTACTTAATCAACTTTTTATTAAGGAGTGTTTGTTTTGCCATTAGGCTCATATTTTTTTATCCCAAAAATACCCTTAACACTTTTTTTTTGTACAGAAAATAAAATATAGCTAATAGAGTGGTTGCTTGTGTCTTATAAAGGGCAAATATGGTATTTTTATTTTTTTCTTTTGATTAAATTTATTTAAGTGAACATTAGGGGTATTTTAGTAAATGGCCCTTTCTATTATTTAGCTTTTGTTTAATAAATCCCATACATTGCATGGGTCCTCGCTAGTGAATCCCGAGATTGAAATATGATGATGCACGATCTAGTGCTCTTTGTTGGCGAACAGCTCGGACACTGGACTGGTGAGGTCGCCTGATTGAGCTGCAGAGAGAGAGAGAGAGAGAGAGAGAGAGAGTAGAGTAGAGTGTGCGGGTTGCTTTACCTAGGGTGGGCATTCCAATGCTTAAGTCAACAATAAGTTATTGGGGAGCTAAAAATGCACTTTTTTTTTTTTAGCATCAATCAACTTTGCTCTCATTCTGAATGCAATCATGTATTGAAATCTATATTTGCTTTCATTTTCAAGATATAAATGCACTTTTACTAGGTATTAGCAAAACTAAACCAGAATTGCATTTGCAGTCTTCCCAAATAGAGCCTAATCTATTGGGCTCTAGCACACCTTTCTAACCCATCAAGGTGGCATTTGAAAACTGCTGAAGTTGATGAATTGAAAGAGTTATTGCTTCATATTTTAATCATTAAAATAATTAAATAATTAAATTTTAAAAGTTCATTAGGAGCTCTCAACATTCTTAAAATCTTATTATCTACAAAGATGAAGCGTTAGCTTTTCGGTTCAGCATCTTCAGGTGTAATTAAAAACGAGACTTACTTGTTTAATGCATAGCACCTTGCTACTAAGGAGCATGGTTCATTGAAATACTCCCCTTTCACCCCTAAAAAATCTATATCTAAAAAATACCACCATTAATACCATGAATTTATGTTCAATTTGTAATTTATATATAGAAGATTCTTTGCATAAAAAGTCCAATCCGAGAATCCGACTGAATATTTCTTTATTCGTCAAAAAACCCAAAGATGATAGTATTTGAAAAATCATGCATTTATTTATGTTAAAAAGTATCCGATGAAATAATTTTGTCTAATAGATCTCCTGCATGGGTGACGGGTCTACAAGTTGAATACAATATAAAATAAATGCTACCACTTACATGATTGGACCCCATCACTCATCACTCACAGTGCTTTGATTTGAGCCATTTGACACAATGGATTCATGTGACCATTCCTGCCACCTCCCACGTGTTCATCACTCATTGGCTTTAAAATTCGTTATGCCATCTAAAGAGAATTCTAAAAATAGATGTGCTAATCGGATGGTTAAAAGATCATGATCGGTTTGGGCCAGGTCGGGTCAAGGCAATACTGGACCATTTCGGATCGGGTCAGCAAAAGGCTAGACGCTAACTTCAATAGAACTAACTACCTAAGTATTCAGGTTAGCCATGGGCGGTCAATGATTCAACATTCAACCATCTAAGCTAATTGGTCTTTGATCAAGTCAACGTTTTTTTTATTAAAATATAAATTTAATCAATATTTTAAAAACCGGTAAGGAATCGAAACTATTTTACCCTTAATTTTTTGGGTCAGTGGTTTGACTGTTCGGTTTTGAATGAATGACTTGCTCTAATTAAAAAAAAAATAATAACTAAAAACGGATCGATAATTCGATTGCTTGGATCAATGAGTCACTAACCAAGTCAATTATTTTGGTCAAAAAACAAGTTAAAAGTAAAATGGAACTAGTTAAAAAAAAATAAAAATAAAAGGGAATTAGTTACCTGAACGGTTTTTGCGCTAAACCGTCCAACCATCCACGTTAACGATGGTTCAAAAATCATGGGTTTAACTGTCCAATTCAAATTGTTTGATTGATTTAACCGTCTGAGTCAACACCGGTTGGAAAATGTAGGTGTAAAAATCGATGACTCAATGGTGACTTGTGACCCGACCCAATCCCTGCATCGGGTCACTACACAGGGGACCCTAACCCGCATTTTTTGGGGTGGCCGGGCCGGGTTCGCGGGGTGTATCGATTTTTTGCCAGGTATTTCTCTTCATCAGCTGCTGATGATTTTGGATATGGCAATGCCTTAGCTCGGACCCTTTAAAGAGTGGGTCACTATCCTATAGAATTCGAACACGTGGCTTACAACGGCTCAGACACATTAACGGGTCCTGTAGCTTCAGACCCAAGCTGCTCCAGCACGGCAGGCATAAGTTACAAGAAACAAAGACAACTCTCTGGTATATATTTTCGATTAGATTCTTCGAGCTTTAACTTCAATCGTTCAAAGAGAAGACCAGCTCTCGGTACTCAATCCTCTCACGCAATTCCAGGTATATCTCTATTCATCTCTGCTTTGCTTTTCGTTCCTCTGTTTCTTCCCCATTAATTTCTCTGATTTTTCTCGCCATTCTTATGCTTTTTTTTTTCCTTCTACAAAATCCATCGGCTAAGCTGCGACCAGATCTTCCTTTTGAGCATGGTCGTGTTGAAACCCTTGGCGTAATCGTCAATAGAAAAGCTTGGTAGATTGTCCAGAGCAAACCCTAGTTGAGCATCGATTTTATCGATCAACAAAAAAAAAAAAAGAAAAAAACAACATCGGTTTTTGATCCAAAGCCCCAAACCCAATATTATCTCTTTGTTTATGATGAATTTCAGTGGTTCCGTGAAGAATTATGCATTAGTTGTCATTTAGTACCTCATCGACCCTTGACATTGTATTCCTATCTGGGGCAGATATTGATTTCTGTTTTGGGTACATTTTGTTTTATGGATGTTTTTTTCCAGGACTGATGCTGTGACCGTTTTGTTGGACCGGTTTTCTTGTTGTGGTGGAGATTTGATTTGGTGACAAGCAGCTTCATCACGGGAATTTTCTATTGAGTCCTCGTTTATATTTTGAGCGTTTCTTGTAACATGAAACAATTTCAGATTGAATTATACTATGCTGTATATTTGTAAACAATGCAAGGTTTCCAGTCATATAACTACCCATTTCAGCTCTTCAACTTTTGCATGTTGTTTGGAATGGACTGAGACTTGTTCCTCAAATCTTCTTTCTTTTATGTTTGTTAAAGATATAACTGCATTTCGTGGGAAATTGTAGATCTCTATTGGATATACATACGTGGGAAGCAGAAACAATTGACCACTTTAATGGTGGATTTTTGATCACCTGAAATTTGGAAATCCTTCTTACTTATCATCAATGGAGAGCTTAGCGCAACTGGAAGCATTGTGTGAAAGGCTTTACAATTCACAGGACTCCGCTGAACGTGCTCATGCAGAGAGCACTCTGAAATGCTTTTCTGTAAATGTTGATTACATTTCACAATGTCAATACATACTCGACAATGCATTGACTCCATATGCATTGATGTTGGCTAGTTCAAGTCTGTTGAAGCAAGTGACAGAGCATAGTCTCTCTTTGCAGCTCCGACTTGATATCCGTAATATTCTCTTTCTTTTTTTTTATAGATAATTTTTTATATTTTAGGAGGAATAGTGGAAATTTATATGATTATCATCCAGTATGTGTCCCATCAATCCTTATTCTTTGGTGTTATGCAGGTTTGTTTTCTTGTATTGCACCCATTCTGACTCATACTATTCTTTCTTACAATTCTTGTCTATTTCTATTTTTTTGATGGTCACTTAATGACCTTTTCTTGGTTTCTAATTTTGCATGGACGGTTTTGAAATTAATTAAGCTTCTTAAACTATTGAAGTGTTGGCATTATATATATACACACTCTTTAAAAGTTGACAATACAAACCATTGCCATATTATAAAAACTTAATTTTTTACTGTTACATGTTTCTGAATTGATCCATCTGTACTTTGTCTGAAGGAAACTACCTTATAAACTATCTGGCCAACAGAGGACCTGACTTGCAGCCTTTTGTAACTGGATCACTGATTCAGCTGTTTTGTCGAGTTACAAAATTTGGGTGGTTTGATGATGACAGATTCAGAGATGTGGTTAAAGAGTCAATGAACTTTTTGAGTCAGGTGACACAGCTTCCATAAATGGCATTAATGACTTTTGTTGCATCTAAAATTAAATGTTCCATATGCTTATTTTTAATTGGTAAGCTAGGATGTTGTATATCGTTTATTCATCTCCTTTTTATGGTTCTATCTAGCTGTGTCTCCACTGGAATTTTAGTGATTCCTTCCCTTCCCTCTTGATGAAGGTTGGGTACAATATGCTACTTTGTGTATATGTATTTTCCCCTTTTCCATCTGTTTTCTTTTTTTTTAGGAATTCATTTACTTTCTTTGATATGTTAGGATTTCATTTACTTTTCTCATCAGTTTTTAGAATATTCCACAATAGTTGGCAGATGAAGAAGATAAAAAAATTGTACATTAGGTTGGCTTATCTTGAATTTCCTTGTTAGCTTCTTCCATCTTAGACTATGAATTTGCTTCTGTTGGCTTGATCTCATGATTATAATGAAATTATGGCCCTCTTCCTTGTAACTTGAAAGTTAACCCAATGATACATGGATACCTGAACATAATTGGCATACTCATCTTCAAATTGTAAGGTGCAGGTTACTAATAATGGATGCTGCATGGAACTCTCTAGAATGTAATTTTTTGGTTTATATAGGCAGCTCTGATGATAGTCCATTGGGTGTGGTATTTGATTTTTTTGGTGATTTGTATACTATGTAGTATTGTTATTTCTCTCTGATTAATAGAGTATGGAACCAAGCAACAAAGATGGCAGTAAGACTACCTATCTGTACTTGGATGGTACAAAACTACAAATACAATGAAAGCAAGATATAGAAACTTCTATCCCTAGACAAATGAACTCCAGAATTCCTATTCCTTTGTATTCATCCCTTGGCTATTCATTACTGTTTTGTCAATAGAAATATACAATATCAAGTGTACCATAAGTTACTTGAAAAAGTAACTGTATGAACTTATTGGATGGCAATACTCAAATCTGTATCTCTGTCTAGAATCTTGAGGATGGAGAGTCATATCCAGGTTTCCTATGTCAATATCCTTATTGGGGCATCTTAGGGTAGCCCACACCCATGAATTATATCAAATATGAGTGGTGATTTACTTGCTTGTTGGTTACCACGGGATAACTTTGCCTATTTGGGTTTATATTGTTGGAACAGCAATACTAGTATCACAGGTCTTGACCATCATGGAGCCCTTACGTTACAAAAGTAAAAAAGGTAAACAAGGTTTGGTTGCAAATACAGGCAATTATGAGGTGTTTTATTTTATTTTTTTCTTTCTGATTTTAGGGCTCCATGAAAGCCAAGCCCATAATGGTGGTATCTACTTGATATCTTTAAGTCTTGTAACTTTTCATATTATGACCGACTGGTTAAAAAGGTTTTTTTTTTTTTTTTTCTTATTTTTTTTTTCTTTTGAAGTGCTACACAACAGGGGTAGCCCATCCCCCAACCCAGGTGCAGGTGGGGTAAAAAGGTTAATGTTATTAAATACTTGAAAAATTTTGAAATCATATGTAGAATATACTTAGTGAGAAGCATAATTTTTATTGGTAATTAACAAACCTTGTGACAGGCTCACTGGTAATGAGGAAATTATTCTTAGGAATGACACATATCTTCAGTTGCTGACCTTGGTTTCACCAACGTTCCATCTTATGTTTTTTCTTTTTTTTTTCACTACAATCTGTGTTATATTTCATTATCTTGGAAATATATAGATGTCTTATTTAAATTTATAGGTGTCTTTTTGTATTTTTTTTTCTTAACAATCAGGGTATTTCACTTTCTATAGTAACCTTCCAGGGAATCATAAACTTTAGCAGAGCAGCTAATATTTATTAACTTTATGTGGTGCAAAGATCATTTATAATTTTAAACTATTACTTGTAAATAATAATGATGCAAACATCTAATGATTCCATGCAGTGCAAGATCATTTTACTACTACTGTAATAATTTTATTTTATTTAGGTTGGAGGAATTGAGCTCTCCTATCTTTTCTACCTAAGCATGTAGGTACTTGTATACAAACACACATGTTTTTATATGTATCTTCATTATTATACCTGCCTTTGCAAGAGCCTCCAAAAAAAAAAAAACAAAATAATGAAATGTGTTTATATTGAAAAGCTAATTTATGATGCCCAAATATGGATACAGACATGGACACTGATACGGGAAATGGGGATATGATTCTCCATTTCCTAAATATTGGGCAAGTATATATTTGGTATGGGTATCCCATGGTAATATGCTTATATCATGCATTTATATCAAGTTCAACGTTGGTATGCTAGAGTACCTCTAGTGTACTGATAAATATTGTATCATGCAGTACCTCTAGTTCAACATAGGTTTGTTAATTGCCAACAGAAATTATATCATGCATTTATATATTTAAGTGTTACTACTATAAAGTACCTCAAGAGTATCCATGAGTATCCTGTATTGTATCTGATAAATATTGTATCCACATTGGTACACTAGGCATGTACAGGTATCTTGGCACTGTCAAAGCAAAAAAAGTTTTTAAGAGAAATAATATGATTTTTGCACAAGCATCTGAAGGAGTTGAGTAAGTAGAATGACTTTGGGTGGAGTCCAGAGATTTGGTGGTTGTGCGCTTTTGTTAATTGTTAGGGGTTGATGAGGCTGAAGGTTTGGTGGCTGTGTGTGGTCTTACATGTAGTTTTAGGTGGAAGTTTAGATTATTGTTTGTCTGGGCCTGGTCAGTGTGTTCAGCTTTCCTTTGGTTTATTGTTTTAGTGTCTGGTTTGGTTTGGTTTGGTTTGGTTTGAGTTTTTGAGAGGAGGTGTTGGTCCTGTTGGATTTGTTTGGGTGAAGGGTCATTTTTCTTCTCTTGGGTGACTTCTTGTCACCTTACTTGTATTCTTCTTTTTAATAAAATTTATATTTTACTATAAAAAAAAAGTTGAAGCTATTATGCCAAAAAAATTTAACTAAACTATAGATGCAAAAGATGTATAGCTTTAAATGCTTTACCACTTGACTGAATGCACAATTGGTTGTCTTTATTTATCTACATGCATTGCATGTATAAAATACCCCTCCTACTGTGTATTTTAGGAGTGAGAACAAAGAGATACAATAGGTACATAGTAGAAAGGGGAAACGACAGAGAAACAATACGAAGAGGCATCGAAGCCCCTGGATGCGGGACTCAGCCAAACAGCAGCTCATTAGGTGGATGAAATGGGCTGTAAGCAAGCTGGAAACACGCCCACAAAGCCCTCAGCTTGCTAATTCAAACTTGCTTTGACTCACCCAAGAAATTTAGTGGGATAGAACTTAATGAGATTGAGTAATCACTAGTCAAATGAAGCAGAATTGAAAATCAGGTGAAATGATCTCACATGGCACTTACATAAAAGAGTTGGTGAGGATGGCTGCTGTACTTTTTACAGAAGATTTCTGAAATTCACTCACTAATAAAGTAAATGCAAAGGGGAAGAAAGGAAAAATAAATGGTGGTAAAGTAAGTGGCACATAGACTTATCAAAGTAAGGGGCACATAGAAGTTGAGTATATAACCCAAAATGCAAGAACATAAGAACAATAAAAAGCAAATGTGGAATATTAAAACAGAGATTTAATAGTCCAATATTCAACCAAGAACTAAGCTACTTTCAGTAAACTACAGATGGGTCCTAATGGAGTCAGCACCATTAAGTTCCTCTAGGAGTCAGCACTATTATAAGCTTGGACTCAGCACCAAACCACAAATTTTGCAGGAGCAATTCATATTCATTCATTCATTTATCATCTCGAAACAGTCTTTACACAGACACACACACACACACACGCATATATATATATATACTTGCTAACAAAGGAAAGAAATTGAAATATAAATAAATCTGAAATATTTTCTCAATCTCTATCAAATCTTTGACTGGCATGATATCAAGTCAAATCTTTGATTGAGAGAATCTCCATGGGTCCCACTTGAGCTGGGCAATAATGTTAGAAATGGACCTAGTGCAGGACTTATAAAAAAAGGGCCTTCTGCAGGGGCTCTCTTGCATGAGGGCTGCAAATATATGGGCTATGTGCCCATGGTCTTCTCTCATTCACCTAGCTTGGAGTAGATACCTCAAAACTAGTCTATTTCTTTCTATTCCACTCCTAGCCAGTTAATCTGCTATTTCATTATGTGATGTCTTTTCTTGCTACTAGAGCTTTTTCCTATCTAAGATGATAGGAAACCCTTGTATCAAGGAAAACCTAGGGGCTAACCCTGGAAATTTGCAGGCCAAGTTGGGCTTCTAGGACAGTCTAAAAATGATCACCCCCTAATTTCATCCCAGAAAAAGTATCAGACTGTTTGGTGTTTCACATTCTGGCTATAGAAATATTTCTTCCACTAATCTATTGCATTTGGTATTACATGGACTTGGATGTAGAAGCTACGCAAGGGAAGAAATGTTGGAAGAGGAAACAATGTTTCTTCATGTTCTTGAATCCTTTGCAATTTCGTCCTAATTGTGTGATTTAGGTTTTGGTAAATTTCAACTTCTCTGAAGTTATTTTCTAGTTTGATAGTGCCTTGGCAATAAAGTTAATCGTCTTAACGGGTCAAACTAAGAGTCCTATAAAAATTATTTTAGTAAATATCTTCTTAAAAGACAATTAAAATTATAAAATAATTTATTTTTGTATAAGGATTAAGAATTTAAGACCCTACCATGGACTTGTTTGGGCTTGCCTTCAAGGGGCTTGGTACAAAGGCAGCTCGTAAAATCAAGAATGCAAGATGTTTTACATCACATTAGCTATTTGAAGTAATGCAATTGAGGGAAAAAAAGAAATTGTGGGTTTTACATGCCTGAAAATGTTTTATATGTTTGATTTTATTTTTAAATTTTCATTTGAATACGCTTTACATGTTATGTTTATGTATTTTAATTTTAAATAATAGGTTTTTTAAAATATTTATTTTAAAATTTAAGTTTATATTTTTATTAATATTATGTTTAATATATATTTTTTAAAATTTGC